TCCCTCTCCATACCTGGAGTTTACCTGGAGAGAGTTCCGGGGGTCAACGCCCCCGCGGCCCGGTCTGTGACCAGGCCTCCTGGTGGATCAGAGCCTGATCAACCAGGCTGTTGCTGCTGGCTGCGCGCAAACCAACGTACGAGCCACTTATGTGTGCTGGGAGGCAGTTGAACAGTCTCGGGCCCCTGACACTTATTGTATGGTCTCTTAACGTGCTAGTGACACCCCTGCTTTTCATTGGGGGGATGTTGCATCGTCTGCCAATTCTTTTGCTTTCGTAGTGGAGTGATTTTTTGTGTGCAAGTTCGGTACTAGTCCCTCTAGGATTTTCCAGGTGTATATAATCACGTATCTCTCCCTCCTGCGTTCCAGGAATACAGGTTTAGGAAACCTCAAGCATTCCCATAATTGAGGTGTTTTACCCTCCGTTATGCGTGCCGTAAAATTTTCTTGTACATTTTCTAGTCGGCAATTTCACCGCCTTGAAAGGTGCTGTTAGTGTGCAGCAATATTCACCCTTTAGATAGAAAAGTGCCCTGAAGAGTGTCACATGGCTTGGGCCCTCCCTATTTTTGAAGGTTCATTATCCATCCTGTCATTTTTCTAGCAGATGCGATTGAACAATGTTAGGGCCCTTGAGGTGAGGATTCCGACATGATCACTCCCAGGTCTTTGCTTTGGGTGTTTCGGCTCTATTTTGTGGCCAAATTGGTTTTTTATCTTAATGAAGATTAATTTCCTCATGTTTACTATTGAGTAATTGAAATTTTCATCGTTGAACTTCATTGTTTTCTTGCAGCCCACTGAAAGATTTGTTGATGTCCGCCTGAGCCTTGCGTGTCTGCAATGGAAGACATGTCATGCAGATTCGGGTGTCATCTCAAAGGAAACACGGCTTGTGGCTGAATCCTTGTCTATGTCGGATTAGGATGAGGAACAAGATGGGAGCGAGTTGTCCTTGTGGAACAGACTTTTCACGTAGCTGCCTGGACTTTACTCTGTTCGACTACTCTCATGTTCTGTTAGTGAGGAAAATTATAGATCCATCGACCGACTTTTCCTGTTATTCTTGGGCACGCATTTTGTGCGCTATAACGCCTGTCAATTGTCAAAGGGGCTTTTGCAAGGGTCTGTATTATTACATCGCATTCTTTGTCTTTCTAGTGCTTTAGGACCTTGTCGTAGTGATACAATAGTTGAGAATGACAGGAGCGACCTGTTCTAACCCATGTTGCCTGGTTGTGTAACTGATGGGTTTCTAGATGGGTGTGATCTTGCTTTTGGACCCTTTCAAAGATTTTTATGATATGGGATGTTTGTGCTATTGGTCTGTAGTTTTTGTTGCTTTACTGCCCCCTTTGTGGAGGGGGGCTATGTCTGTTTTTTAGTAACTGTAGGACGACCCCCGTGTCCATGCTCCCCTCCATAGGATGGAAAAGCTCGTGATGGGGGCTTCTTGCATTTTCTTGATGAACACAGAGTTCCATGAGTCTGGCCCTGGGGCAGGTGCATGGGCATGTCCATTTATCGCCTGTTCGAAGTAAATTTGGCGTCAGGAAAAACATCGGATAGGCTTGTGTTAATAAAATTTTTTGTGGCTCTCTCATAAAAAAATTATTTTGATCTTCGACTCTCAGTCTGGTAGCGGCTTGCAAAAAACGAGTCAATTGGGACTTGAGTAGCTCACTCATTTCCTTGCTGTTCATCTGTGGGGGACCCATCTTGTTTAAGTAGGGGCCCAATACTGGAAGTTGTTCTCGACTTTGATTTGGCATAGGAGAAGAAATATTTTGGGTTTCTTTCGATTTCATTATGGCTTTTAGTTCTTCCCGCTATTCCTGACTCCTATAAGATTCCTTTAGTTTAAGTTCGATGCTTGCTATTTCTCTGACCAGGACTCCCTACGCATTTCAGAAATATTGGCCTCTTTTAGCCGCTCTGTTTTTCTTTTCCGTCGCCTGTAAAGGGGCGCCTGTCTCTTTCTATTTTACATCTACCCCCTTCTTTTCTTAAAGGGAAATAACCCTTGAGCATACATCGAGTGCCCCCGAGTTAATCTGTTCTAGGCATAAGTTGGGGTCTGTGTTGCTTAGTCTATCTTCCCAGCTTATATCGGTTAGGACTTGGTTTATTTGGTCCCATTTATGTTCTTGTTATTGAAGTTGAATTTGGTGAAGGCTCCCTCGAGACTAATCTCATTATGTCGGTCGGGGGCTCAGCGCATACATGTCTGAACCTCGATTATGTTGTGATCTGAGTATATTGTTTTGATATGGTGACTTTTTCGTATCAGATCATCATTGTTAGTGAAAATGAGGTCTAGTGAAATTTTCCCATCTAGTAGGTTCTATTATTTGCTGGTTTAAGTTGAATTTTGTGCAGAGATTTAAAAGCTCGTGTGAGTGTGAGTTTTCATCAGTGCTGCCTCCTGGTGTTATTACTGCAACAATATTATTTGCTATATTCCTCCATTTTAGGTGCCTTAAGTTGAAATCACCCAGGAGCAAGATGTTGGGTGCAGGAGCTGGAAGATTTTCGAGACAGTGGTCAATTTTTAACAGCTGTTCCTGGAATTGCTGGGACGTTGCATCTGGAGGCTTGTAGACTACCACAATGACTAGGTTTTGGTTCTCGACCTTTACTGCTAAAACTTCCACTACATCATTTGAGGCATTAAGCAGTTCTGTGCAAACAAGTGACTCTGGCTGTCTTCAAGACCTCTGGCTGTCATCAAGACCTTTGGCTGTCATCAAGACCTCTGGCTGTCATCAAAACCTTTGGCTGTCATCAAGACCTCTGGCTGCCATCAAGACCTTTTGCTGTCATCAAGACCTCTGGCTGTCTTCAAGACCTTTGGCTGTCATCAAGACCTCTGGCTGTCTTCAAGACCTTTGGCTGTCATCAAGACCTCTGACTGTCATGAAGACCTTTGGCTGTCATCAAGACCTCTGGCTGCTTTCAAGAAGAAGTTGGACAGACACACAAAGTCCGAACCTGACCAGCCAGGCTGTAGTTCCTACGTTGGTTTACGTGCGGCCAGCAGTAACAACCTGGTTGATCAGGTCTTGATCCACCATGAGGCATGGTCATGGACCAGGCCGCGGGGGCGTTGACCCCCGAAACACCCTCCAAGTAAACTCCAGTTAACTGGATGTGCAGATATACCACTCTGGTTTTATCCCTCAGTCTGGTGTCTGTGATAAACCCGAGTTTTGTTTTGAACTTGCAGGTTTAACATACCGTGTTTTGTTAGCGACACATTTACGCGAAGATATTCAAGCATAGGTCAGCGGAAGGCATCGGTCAGATGACCAAAAGCTCCAGCTGTGGGTCATCATCTGACTAAGACCCGCGTCAGGAAACACTTGTCCAGTTTCCTGACGAACCTTACCTAACCTAACCTAACCTCAAGCATAGGAATTATCACCATCTCTATGTACTTCTTGATAGGAGAGGCGCCTGATTAAACCTGCATAAATGACTGAGACGAATTTTTGCTAAGTTCATGTTTTTGGTGACGTGTGATGTAGAGGGGAATAATCTGTCTCGTAGCCCAGGATATTCGGGTTTTTAATAATATCTTCATGTCTACCAGTATGGTGGCCCGGTGGTCTGGTGGCTAAAGTTCCCGCTTCACACACGGAGGGCCCGGGTTCGATTCCCGGCGGGTGGAAATTCCGACACGTTTCCTTACACCTATTGTCCTGTTCACCTAGCAGCAAATAGGTACCTGGGTGTTAGTCGACTGGTGTGGGTCGCATCCTGGGGGACAAGATTAAGGACCCACAATGGAAATAAGTTAGACAGTCCTCGATGACGCACTGACTTTCTTGGGTTATCCTGGGTGGCTAACCCTCCGGGGTTAAAAATCCGAACAAAATCTTATCTTATCTTATCTTATATGTACAAGGTATACAGACCATAGCTGACATCAATGACATACTACTATATAGAAAGACCCTTGTTATGCTGAGCATTTCCCGCAAAATAAGTCAGTTTTGTCCCAGGATGCGACCCACACCAGTCCACTAACACCCAGGTACCCATTTTACTGATGGGTGAACATAGACAACCAGTGTCAGGAAACACGTCCTACCCTCGCCAGATAGGTGTACCCCTGATGGAGATGCCTCTTATGTTTTCAACTCTTGTGGGAAAGCATCCAATGGTACTCATGAAGACCTTGTCAGGATTGGTCGTGAGTCTCCATTTCTTCTCCCAGTTGGCTTTTATTCTCAAATCTATATTCAATGGTCTGCAATCATGTCATTACTACTGAGTCAGTTCTATATTTTTTTTTTCTATCAGCCTCTCATATCTGTTTCCTCCAGATGCAGATGTGGATGAACCTACATGGATAACATCAATAAATTGGGTGATGTAATTATACTCAGGATGGGGAAGGTCATTTATACAATAAAGACATGAGGACCTAAGCATGTTTCCTGAGGCACTCCAGCCGTCGGTGTGAATGACTCTGCTGCCTTGTAGCTGAAGGTAGGATGATGCTCCTACTTATTATATAAGTCTAAGAAAGGTCAGATTATGACCTCGAAGGTCAGCAATATTGATAATGAGGCCGTCCTGCAATAGTCTGTGAAGTCCTGTGTAATTGGAGTATACCTGGAAAGGGTTTCGGGGGTCAGCGCCCCCCGCGGCTCGGTCTGTGACCAGTCCTCATGGTGGATCAGAGCCTGATTAACCAGGCTGTTATACTCATGAGAAAAACAGAGCAAAGTTGCCTTGTTTGCACAGGATGTCCACGGCAGACAACCTCAATGGTTATAATAACCGTAACTTTTAAAAGGATGGACTGGTAAGCCAGGGGAAGGCCTCGGACAGATGACCATAAGCTCTAGCTGCTGGGTCATAGCCTTTATGGGGTGACCCATCCATCCCCCCTGCACGACCCGTACGCATTTACCGCTCCTTCCCAAGCAATTAACGCCAACTTAGCGGATTCGCTAAGCGAATCTAGCGAATTAAGCGAACGTCAAAGACGGCAACACCGTTTTGTCAATAATAACAAACAGGTCGAAAATTGGCGAAATTTTCCCTATTTTTGGCCAAAAATCTTAGCCAAATGATGGATTTATGGGTAATTTTCGCGGATATATTGAGAGGTGAGGTTAATGGCGCTGTTCTGGCGATGGTTAATTTAATTTTAAGGGGAAATATATTTTTTTGTGATTTTTTTTCGGAATTTAAATATCTGGGTTTTAATCAATTTAAAAACCCGGGGTTTAAATACCAATGTTAGGTGACTAACACCCAGGTACCTACTTACTGCTAGGTGAACAGTGACAGCAGGTGTTAGTAGACTAACACCCAGGTACCTACTTACTGCTAGGTGAACAGTGACAGCAGGTGTTAGTAGACTAACACCCAAGTACCTACTTACTGTTAGGTGAACAGTGACAGCAGGTGCTAGTAGACTAACATACAGGTACCTTACTGTTAGGTGAACAGTGACAGCAGGTGCTAGTAGGCTAACACCCAGGTACCTACTTACTGCTAGGTGAACAATGACAGCAGGTGTTAGTAGACTAACACCCAGGTACCTACTTACTGCTAGGTGAGCAATGACAGCTGGTGTTAGTAGACTAACACCAAGGTACCTACTTACTGCTAGGTGAACACTGACAGCAGGTGTTAGTAGATTAACACCCAGGTACCTACTTACTGCTAGGTGAACAATGAGAGCAGGTCTTAGTAGACTAACACCCAGGTACCTACTTACTGCTAGGTGAGCAATGACAGCTGGTGTTTGTAGACTAACACCAAGGTACCTACTTACTGTAGGTGAACCTGACAGCAGGGGGTTAGGTAGACTAACACCCAGGTACCTACTTACTGCTAGGTGAACAGTGGCAGCAGGTGTTAGTAGACTAACATCCAGGTACCTACTTACTGCTAGGTGTACAGTGACAGCAGATGTTAGTAAACTAACACCCAGGTACCTAATTACTGCTAGGTGAACACTGACAGCAGGTGTTAGTAGACTAACACCCAGGTACCTACTTACTGTTAGGTGAACAGTGACAGCAGGTGTTAGTAGACTAACATACAGGTACCTACTTACTGCTAGTGAAAAAGTTGACAGCAGGTGTTAGTAGACTAACATCCAGGTACCTACTTACTGCTAGGTGAACACTGACAGCAGGTCTTAGTAGACTAACACCCAGGTACCTACTTACTGCTAGGTGAACACTGACAGCAGGTGTTAGTAGACTAACACACAGGTACCTACTTACTGCTAGGTGAACAGTGACAGCAGGTGTTAGTAGGCTAACATCCAGGTACCTACTTACTGCTAGGTGAACACTGACAGCAGGTGTTAGTAGACTAACACCCAGGTACCTACTTACTGTTAGGTGAACAGTGACAGATGGTGTTAGTAGACTAACATACAGGTACCTACTTACTGCTAGGTGAAGAGTGACAGAGGTTTTTAGAGACTAACATCCGGTACCTACTTACTGCTAGGTGAACACTGACAGCAGGTCTTAGTAGACTAACACCCAGGTACCTACTTACTGCTAGGTGAACAGTGACAGCAGGTGTTAGTAGACTACATCCAGGTACCTACTTACGCTGGTGTACAGTGACCTCAGATGTTAGTAAACTAACACCAGGTACCTACTTACTGCTAGGTGAAAAACTGACCAAACAGGTGTTAGTAGGGCTAACACCAAGGTACCTACTTATGTAGGTGAACAGTGACAGCAGGGGTTAGTAGACTAACACCCAGGTACCTACTTTCTGCAGGTGAACAGGGACAGCAGGTGTTAGTAGACTAAAAACCCAGGTACCTACTTACGCTAGGTGAACAGTGACAGGAGGTGTTAGTAGACTAACACCCAGGTACCTACTTACTGCTAAGTGAACAGCGACAGTAGGTGTTAGTAGAGTAACACCCAGGTACCTACTTACTGCTAGGTGAACACTGACAGCAGGTGTTAGTAGACTAACACCAAGGTACCTACTTACTGCTAGGTGAACAGTGACAGCAGGTGTTAGTAGACTAACACCCAGGTACCTACTTACTGCTAGGTGAACAGGGACAGCAGGTGTTAGAGACTAACACCCCGGTACCTACTTTCTGCTAGGTGAACATGACAGGAGGTGTTAGTAGACTAACACCCAGGTACCTACTTACTGCTAAGTGAACAGTGACAGTAGGTGTTAGTAGAGTAACACCCAGGTACCTACTTACTGCTAGGTGAACAGTGACAGCAGGTGTTAGTAGACTAACACCCAGGTACCTACTTACTGCTAGGTGAACATTGACAGCAGGTGTTAGTAGAGTAACACCCAGGTACCTACTTACTACTATGCTGCCTATTTTCTTGCCCTTCATGGCTGTGTCTTGATGCTGGTGAAAGGCTCTTGATCCAAGGAGTTGAGGCTATCATCTCCTTAAATCGTTCCTAATTACCTCCCTTACCCCTGACTTATGTATGACACCTATGCACTTAGTGCTTCCCAATATTATTATTACAATCAAGGGGGAAGCACTAAACCCGGAGGATTATGCTTCCCAATAAATATAATAACTGTAAATAGTAATAATATTATTATCCTTAAGAATAATATAATAATAGCTGTAGTAATAATAGTTATAATAATAATAGCTATAGTAATTATAGTTATAATAATAATAATAGCTATAGCAATAATAGGTATAATAATATAATTATTCAAAATTATATTTTTTTATGCTGTACAAAGGATAACGTAGGTTAAACACAAATGTTCAGGTCTCCCTCAACATTCACGAGAGTTAGGGGATCAAGAGCCTTGCGAATGTTGAAAAATCGCGAATGTTTGGTGCCCCAATATATTGTTGGGAAATATAATACAATACTGCTTCCTTAACTTGTTGAACCATGAACAATCATAAAATACATGAAAATGTCATAAAATATTGTGCTAAATACATACATGTTATGGTTTAATAACATGTATGTCATTAAATACCACTAACTCAACCACTGCCTCAACCACTGCGGCACACTGCTCATATTTTGGTACAATTTCTTTCTTCAATTCTATCGTGTTTCTGCCTCAACCACTGCCTCAATCACTGCCTCTACCACTGCCTCAACCACTGCCTCTACCACTGCCTCAACCACTGCCTCTACCACTGCCTCACCCACTGACTCTACCACTGCCTCTACCACTGCTTCAACCACTGCCTCAGCCACTGCCTGTACCACTGCCTCTACCACTGCCTCAACCACTGCCTCAACCACTGCCTCAACCACTGCCTCTACCACTGCTTCAACCACTGCTTCAACCACTGCCTGTACCACTGCCTCTACCACTGCCTCAACCACTGCCTCAACCACTGCCTCAACCACTGCCTCAACCACTGTCTCAACCACTGCCTCTACCACTGCCTCAACCACTCCAGTCACACTCAATCTACAAGCACCAAACAATGAATTATTGTGAAAAGTTTGGAAGAGCAGAGAGACTATTTCTCACTCCAGCATAAACAAGACCACACTGACGATGCCTCAACCACTTCCTCCACCACTGCTTCAACCCTCGTATTTTTGTACAATTTCCTTCTTCAATTCTATATTTATTATTATTATTATTATTATTATTATTATTATTATTATTATTATTATTATTATTAGCAGTAGCAGAAATGTTGATTCTTTGCCGTGTTCAAGAGTAAAGATGATGTCACTGTCCAATACCTGTCCAAATGGCCATTCCAATATGCAGCCATGAATGGGTTGACATTATTTATACTGTAGTTTAATAGCAAATAATGAACAAACAAAACTCTTGTCACACTGAGTGGCGGGAAGGCTGGCTGCCAGTTGCGGGGGTCAGAGGGAGGGTAGTAGGGACTTGCGGGTGGTGGGAAACTTAAATATGATTTGGTGCCTGGGAATTTAGCAGTTGGGAATTTGGCAGTTAGGAATTCGCGAATGTGCGAAGCCCACGAAAGTTGAAAACGCGAATGTTGAGGGAGACCTGTACAGTGGACCCCCGGTATTCGATGGCATCGGTATTCGATAAATCCGGTATTCGATGCATTTTAACGCAAAAATTTCACCTCGGTACCCAATCGAAAACCCGGTATTCAATGCGATTCGTACGAGACGTGTCCGCGTGTGGCCTGAACTGCCCCGTGTGTGTCAGTGTTTACAAGCCAGCCAGTGTGTGCGCATCTAAGGATACCATGACTCACGAAATCGTAATGACACGATTGCAAACAAACCATACCACGGACGGGATTTGAACCCGCAGTCAGAGTCTCAAAACTCCAGACCGCCGCGTTAGCCACTGGACCAGCTAGCCACCTAGTTGGACGAATCTTATTGTGGCTAGCTGGTCCAGTGGCTAACACGATGGTCTGGAGTTCTGAGACTCTCTGACCGCGGGTTCAAATCTTGTCCGTGGTATGGTTTATCTAAGGATACATTCGGTACATTCCATATTATCACTGTTTTTGGTGCTTGTTTCTGCAAAATAAGTCACCGTGGGCCCCAAGAAAGCTTCTAGTGCCAACTCTTCGAGAAAAAAGGTGCTAATGACTATTGAAATGAAGAAAGAGATAATTGCAAAGTACGAAAGTGGAGTGCGTGTGTCGGAGCTGGCCAGGTTGTATACGAAACCCCAATCAACCATCGTTACTATAGTGACCAGGAAAACGGCAATCAAGGAAGCTGTTGTTGCAAAAGGTGCAACTGTGTTTTAGAAACAGAGACCACAAGTGTTAGAAGATGTTGAGAGACTGTTATTGGTGTGGATAAATGAAAAACAGATAGCAGGAGATAGCATCTCTCAAGTGATCATTTGCGAAAATGCTAGGAAGTTGCATGAGGATTTAATTAGAAAAATGCCTGCAACTAGTGGTGATGTGAGTGAATTTAAGGCCAGCAAAGGTTGGTTTGAAAGATTTAAGAATCGTAGTGGCATACATAGTGTGATTAGGCATGGTGAGGCTGCCAGTTCGGACCAAAAAGCAGCTGAAAAGTATGTGAAGGAATCAATGGTCCAAGTCGGACCGAAACGTCGTCGTAAGCTTCTCTCTTTTATGTGCGGGTTATTTGTGTATCGTTCCAGTCACGGTATTGTGCCTTTTTTGTTATTTATGTGAAGGAATTCAAGGATTACATAGACAGTGAAGAATTTAAACCTGAACTTTAGAAAAGTCATAAAGGAACAAGAGGTACAGGCCTCTATGGACAGATATATTGTGCGACAGAAGTCCAATGACTCTCAAACTGGTCCTAGTGGCATTAAAAGAAGAAGGGAAGTAACCCCAGAAAAGGACTTGCTACCTCAAGTCCTAATGGAAGGGGATTCCCCTTCTAAACAGTAACAACTTCGACACTCTCCCCTCCTCCCGTCCCATCAATCATCACCAGATCTTCATTAAAGGTAAGTGTCAATTATTCTATTGTTATTATTCTATTGTTATTGTAATTATTCTATTGCATTAAACTTAATATTTCATGTGGTAAAATTTTTTTTTCATACTTTTGGGTGTCTTGCACGGATTAATTTGATTTCCATTATTTCTTATGGGGAAAATTTATTAGCTTCTCGATATTTTCGGTATTCGATGAGCTCTCAGGAACGGATTAATATCGAATACTGTATTTCTGGTGATCTAATTCTAATGCATAAATGTCACTTTAGAATTAGACATAGACTGTTCAGTAAGATTTCTTATACAATTAACTACAATTATGTTTATTTTTTTCAGTTCAACCTTCGAGAGAAACTGACCTCCAGTTGCAGAAATTTTTCCGAATAAGCGGAAGAAATACTGGAGTTGTATGATTCAACAAGTGTTAGAATACACAACACACTGTTAGAAATGCTGGAGATTGTGTTGACCATCTACTGGCGTCTACATCCTGGCCGCCCCATGCACACCCTCATCACTCTGCAGACGCAATTTGATTCTGCTAAATGAAACATTGCCATGCAACATTGACACATATTTTGGAAATAGCTTAACTGTAACATATCACTTTATTTTGCAATGAAGATCACATGATTTTGATAAAAATGCTGGTATTAAATGATACTTTGGCTTCTGTAGGCTTTTAAATCAGCTTGAATTCAAGGTGTGTAAAAATACTCTTTGCAAAAGCTACATTAGATTGATGGCATGAGAGCTGAAAAAAAATGGTCTTTATTATAAAATTTTCCTTAACGTTTTCTCAAATTATGCAAAAATAAATTTGTCTACTGCTAGTCATAGTTCGTGCAGTCAGTGTTTATTAGAATAAAAATATGTACTGTTAAATTAATGTAAATACGCGAGGATATACCTTATGGAATACAAATTATTAATTCTGTGGTAGAAATGACAGAAATTTATTTACAAACTTGTGGAATTTTGGATTGCAACATATGCCAGGGCGATAAGGAAGTTGCTGTCTATTGCTGTTCATCTGTGAGTGATTTATTGCACCAGCTTGCAATGTTGTGTGTCCATCATGGGTTTAGCACCTAATTTTCATTGTAATAATAATAAACTTCATCATCTTGGATTACTTCATGTGCTGCTGAATTTTCTGACATTATTATTACCATTCTACTGCTGCTGCTATCTTTTTTTTTTTTCTTGTGTACGGTTCATCTGCTAAGGGGTTTGATACAGGAAGTGACAGTAGCAAGGAAACAATTGTTATAGAGGTGCTGTGTTGGTAATCATGGCCTGTCTACATTTGCTAGGCCTGGTCGAGTCTGACAGAAAGGCCTGTGGCCAGTGGCCTTCGTGTGTAGTTCAAAGAAGGGGGGGGGGTTGCGTGACTAGGCTTGGCCAGGAAGCCTCCTCATAAAATGGAGCTATAACGATGTATACTACACAATTATTACACTGTTGACACGTCTGTGCTGTGTGGTGCTGAGAACCCTTACAGGTTCAGTTCTCTGATAATAGAAAATGAAGGTTCATATTGGAGAGAAGCGATTCAAGTGTTTGGAATGTCCAAAAGACTTTTCCCAAAAAGGACATTTAGTAAGACACATGAGGTTCCATACAGGAGAAAGGCCTTATAGATGTTCAATGTGTTCAAAAGACTTTGGTGTGAAATCATGTTTAATCCAACACTTGAAAGTTCACACTGGTGAGAAGCCATATCAGTGTTCAGAATGTCTGAAAGGTTTCACGCAGAAGGGACACCTGCAGAAACACATGACGACTCACACAGGTCATAAACCATACCAGTGTTCAGAATGTCCAAAAGACTTTTCGCAGAAAGTACACCTGAAGCAACACATGAGAGTTCACACAGGAGAGAAACCATATCAGTGCCCAGAGTGCCTGAAAAGCTTTTCGCAAAAGGGGCATTTAGTGATTCATATGAGAATTCACACGCGACAAAAGCCATTTAACTGCTCTGAGTGTTTGAAAAACTTTAGGGCTAGATCGACTTTAATAACCCACATGCGAGTTCATACCGGAGAGAAGCCATACCAGTGTTTGGAGTGTCTGAAAGAGTACAAACAAAAAGGGTCTCTACAGCAGCACATGAAAGTCCACACTGGAGAAAAGCCATTTCAGTGTTCGTTGTGTCTGAAAGCTTTTTCAGAAAAATCTCAGTTGGTAAAACACCACAAGGTTCATACGGGTGAAAAGCCACATCAGTGTACTGAGTGTCTCAAAGGTTTTCTATTGAAAGCGAATCTAATACAACACATGAGAGTTCATACAGGAGAGAAACCATACAAGTGTCAAGAATGTCCAAAAGCATTCTCGGTAAAATCCGGTCTCTTACATCACATTAAAATTCACACAGGAGAGAAACCATACAAGTGTTCACTCTGTCTGAAGGATTTTTTACGAAAATCCAGATTAATACAACACATGAGAGTTCACACTGGGGAGAAACCCTATCATTGTTCGTCGTGCTTGCGAGCCTTCTCGCAAAAGGGGAAATTAATACAACACATGCGAATTCATACAGGAGAAAAACCATACAAGTGTACAGTCTGTCAGAAAGGGTTTTCGCTAAGACCAATTCTAATTAACCACATGAGGACTCACACAGGAGAGAAACCATACCAGTGTACAGTGTGCTGTAAAGGTTTCTCAGTGAGATCAAATCAAATATTGCATATGAGGATTCATACGGGAGAGAGGCCATACAAGTGTTCGGTGTGTCCGAAAGATTTCTCCGGGAAGTCAAGTCTGACACAGCACATGAAGGTTCATACAGGAGAAAAACCATACAAGTGTACGGAGTGTCTCAAAGAATTTTCACAAAGGTCACATCTGAACTATCATACAAAAATTCATACACGAGACAAACTATAATTTATTGTGTATCTAAGAGACTTTTTTTTTTAAATATACAGTGGAACCTCTACTTACGAGCGCATCCACGTGCGAGTTTTTCCAAATAAGAGCAGTCGATGGGTTGATTTTTTGCTTCCATACGTGAGCAAAATTTCCATAAGCGAGCAGACGTCAAGGCAGGTCTGGTGAGGGGCTCATGCTCTTGATCTAGGGAATTGTATCTCATTTGTTTGTTGGACTATCTTATTGAAACTTGGGCAATGTATGATGGAAAGATGCTTCTTAATGTACACCAAAAATGAGAGAAATCTATGCATAAAATGGAGTTCACTTCTCAGCAATTAGCCACCCCTTTGCGGTATTTTTGTATGGTTTTATGGTTGTATTCTCGTTTTCTGGGTCTCATTTGATAGAATGGAAGATATATCACAGAAATAGATATGATTTTGATTGCTTTCACAATGAAAAGTACCTTGAAATTGAGCTCAACGAGGGAGAAATGCTCATTTGCTTGACTACGTTCAAGAGTAAACAAATGACGTCACTGTCCACTCCAACATGCGGTGGTGAATGGGTTGACATTATTTATACAATTATTGCAATAAGACATAACAGTAAATCTTATATTTTTTGTGTGAATAAAAATTACAGATTATTTATATTGTAATAATAATACAGTGGACCCCCGGTTAACGATTTTAATCCGTGCAAGAGGGCTCATCGTTATGCGAAATAATCGTTATGCGAATGAATTTTCCCCATAAGAAATAATGGAAATCAAATTAATCCGTGCAAGACGCCCAAAAGTATGAAAAAAAATTTTTTTTACCACATGAAATGTTAATTTTAATACACACAAACTGAAAAAGGCATGCACAATTAAATGACACTTACTTTTATTGAAGATCTGGTGATGATTGATGGGATGGGAGGAGGGGAGAGCATTATCTTCTTACTGTTTAGAAGGGGAATCCCCTTCCATTACGACTTGAGGTAGCAAGTCCTTTTCCGGGGTTACTTCCCTTCTTCTTTTAATGCCACTAGGACCAGCTTGAGAGTCACTGGACCTCTGTCGCACAACAAATCTGTCCATAGAGCTCTGTACCTCCCGTTCCTTTACGATTTGTCTAAAATGGGCCACAACATTGTCATTGAAATAGTCACCAGCACGGCTTGCAACAGCTGTGTCAGGGTGATTTTCATCTATAAAGGTTTGCAGTTCAACCCACTGTGCACACATTTCCTTAATCTTTGAAGTAGGCACAATGGATTCCACAACTGGCATAGGCTTCTCAGGGTTAGCCCCAAACCCTTCAAAATCTTTCTTAATTTCCATACTAATTCTCACCCTTTTTACCACAGGGTTGGCACTAGAAGCTTTCTTGGGCCCATGGTCACTTATTTTCCAGAAACAGCACCGAAAATACTGTAATAATACGAAATATTCCGAGTGTATGCTTGGATGTTACCGCGGAGGCTGCTGGTAAACAATGGGACGGAGCGGGCACATGTGAGGCTGGCTGAGGGCACATTGGACGCGTCTCGACGAAAATCGGTATGCGGGTTTTTAATCGGTATGGGGGCAAAAATTTTGCGATAAAAGTAATCGTTATGCGGAAAAATCGCTATGCGATGCCATCGTTATGCGGGGGTCCACTGTACAGTGGAACCTCAAAAATCGAACGTATCACATATCGAACGTTTCGAAAATAGGACCATTTATTTCGGACAACTGTGTCCTATTATCGAACGCGCCCCTATTTTCGGATCGCCGGGTACGGGACCTGTCTGCCGCCTGCTCTGTCCGCGTCCCCACGCAGGCGCCGTGAGCAATCTAGCTTTGTTTATGCTTGAGTGAACACTAACCTGCGCTCTCATTCACCCATTTTACGATTATTTCGTTGTGTTTAGTGCTTGTGGGACTGTGAAATAAGCTGCCATGGGCCCAAAGAAACTTGCTAGTGGTACCCCTGTGGTAAAGAAAGTGAGAAACACCATAGATGTGAAGAAGGAAATAATACAGAAGTATGAGAGTGGTGTGAGACTTGTTGAGCTTGCCAGGATGTATGAGAAAAACAAGTCGACCATCAGTTCTATCCTGTCAAAGAAAGAACAAATCAAGGAAGCTGATGTTGCGAAAGGTGTTAATATAGGGAGTGGATGAGGTGCCTTCTTCAAAGATTAAGGAGATTTGTGCCAAGTGGAATGATGTCCAAATGTTTGTGCAGAAGTACCACCCTGAGCAAGCTGAAACAAACCATCTTTGCAACAAGTTCAGTGACAGAACCATGTCCCATTTTAGGGAAATGTTAAAGAGGCACCAGAAACAGAGGACTGTGGACAGTTATTTTGTGAGACATGGGTCCAGTGACTCTCAAGCTGGTCCTAGTGGCATTAAAAGACAGAGAAGGGAAGTAACCCCATAGAGAGCTTTACCTTAAGTCCTCATGGAGGGGGATTCTCCTTCCAAACACTAACCCCAACTCCCTCTCTCCTCATCCCTATCTTCCAGATGCCAATGTTATTTTATATGTATTACTATACATAATTAAAAACTATAGTATTTGTTGTATGTAAAACTGTAATTAATCTCTATAAAATGTATTTTTTGTGTGAATATTTTTGGGTTTCTGGAATGGATCAATTGTATTTCCATTATTTCTTATTTGAAATATTGCTTCGAATTTCAGACTTTTCGAATTTAGAACTAGCTCCTGGAACGGATTAAGTTCGATTTTTGAGGTTCCACTGTAGTATTAATAATAATATTAATATGTATAATAATAATAATACATATATAATAATAATGTACTACATAATAATAATAATAATAATTATAATAATAGATGGCTTCAAAAGGCCGTCACTAGATGGCAGTGTTTACCACAACAAAGAGGAAGTGGGAGTGGCTGCCTCCACCTGTTACATAATGACATATTTTATTCATTCTAGAGTATACAGTGGACCCCCGCTTAACGATCACCTCCCAATGCGACCAATTATGTAAGTGTATTTATGTAAGTGCGTTTGTACGTGTATGTTTGGAGGTCTGAAATGGACTAATCTACTTCACAATATTCCTTATGGGAACAAATTCGGTCAGTACTGGCACCTGAACATACTTCTGGAATGAAAAAATATCGTTAACCGGGGGTCCACTGTATATAAGTTTCTATGTTATTTACATTGTTTATTATTTCATATTAGATGAACTGTGATAGATAAATAAGCCACAGTTGATGATAGCCAAATATTCAAGGAGTATTTTGTCCTGTCTCCAGACAAACTCTCATCGGCCGCTGCCGCCACCACACATATAATGACATATTTTATTCATTCTAGAGTATATATCAGGTTTCTATGTTATTTATATTGTTTGTTATGTCATATTAGATGAACTGTGATAGATAAATAAGCCGTATAAATGATATTAGCGAAATTATTGAAGTACAGAATCCCACTGTAACGGATTAATTGCATTTCAATTAATTTAAATGAGAAAAATTGACTCTGCAAATGAGCAAATCCAGTTGCGAGCAAGGTCATGGAACTGATTAAACTCGCAAGTAGAGGTTCCACTGTATTAGAAACTATAATTTATTGTATATTTAAGAGCTTTTTAAATATATTAGAAATCATAATTTACTGTGTATCTAAAAGACTCTTTTTTAAGTTGTTATATTAGAAACCATAATTTGCTGTGTATTTAATTAAGAAATGTTTAAATATGTTAGAAACCATAATTTATTAATTGTGTATCTAAGAGGTTCTTCAAAAATAGAGTAATATCAACCAGTGTTAATACTGTTTTTTTTTTTTTTGAGTTTATTATTGGGCAGTCACTTTTGTACGGATCACCTCAGCTGATAATCGGGAAAGAAATGCACAGGTGCTCCTTGACTTACAGTGGGGGTTATAAATCTGTAGTGGAAGAAAGGCAGGGTAGGGGTAATCCTAGGAAAGATTGGAGGGAGGGGGTAAATTAGGTTTTATATGCGATGGGTTTGGACTTCCAGCAGGCGTGCGTCAACGTGTTAGATAGGAGCGAGTAGAGACGAATGGTTTTTATGACGATGTGCTGTTGGAGTGTGAGCAAGGTAACATTTATGAAGGGATTCTGGCAAATTGGTTAGCCAGACTTGAGTCCTGTAGGTAGGAAGTACAGTGCCTGTACTCTGAAGGATGAGTGACAATATTACAGTTCTGGAAGTGGGAAGTACAGTACCTGCACTCTGAAGGATGGGTGAATATATGCTGCAGGTTTTATTACTGTAGTATAGTGGAAAAAGCGATGGAGTGAATGATGATGAAAGTGTTTCTTTTTTTTCGCATCACCCCTACCTTGGTGGGAAAAGACCAATCAAGAACCTTGATAATGTGAGAAATAACAAAAGTGCTTGGAATTTCAACATTTTTTCACACTGGTGGTTTTGCTTGTGAAATATACATTGTTAATTCTGTATACCATCCTGAGGTCAGACTTGCACATTACAGTAGCACCCACAGATTCAGTATCCACAGTTTCAGTTATCCACGGTTTACCTTGGCCAAAAAATAACCCTTAATTATGCTTAATAATGGCTCCAATATGCAAAAGTGGTGGTGGTGGCAGTTCTTCAAAGCCTAAGAGAAGCTGTGAAGTGCTTCCCATCAGTGAAAAAGTGCTAATTATATTCTTATTTTGCATAATTTATCAATTAAACCTCATCATAGGTATGTATGTAAACGATAAATAACTTATACGTAGGGTTCGCTACTGTTCCCGGTTTCAAGTATCCATAGCAGGTCTTGGTACGTATCCCCAAGGATATGGGGGGACTACTGTAATTGCTCTCTTACCCAGGTTTATATAGGTATCACAACCTGGTTAATGTGGTACATTTTAAAAGAACTTGTTCAATTTCCTCATTAAGACTTTTTTTTTGGTTCAGGCAATACAGTAACCCCTCTATATAACAGACTAATTGGAGGAGTGGGGGGGACAGTAGTTACAGTCGTAATGGATAGAGAAGAGGTTGTTGTGCCATGACTGTAGCAACAATGAATGGTTCTGTAGCCAGCAGACCTTGTCCATTGTTTCCAAACTGATTGACCTAGTGGATTTTGCTCTATTTCCAGAGTAGGTTAAATGGGGTCCATTGTATAGCTCTGTTATATGGAGGGTTTATTTACAGTGTTTTCTGGCATATGAGGCACATTTTTTCCCACAAAAAGTCTTGGAAAGTCAGCCTGCATCTTATATGCTCAAGGTCAGGGTCAAGGATAGGCTTTGTTTTACACTCTAGCATTGTTTACTAACATTACTCTACAACTGCTTGATAACATTGCCGTACACTTTCACATGCCTTATGTGCCAGATAATACAATATATCTGCTGGTAGAAGATTGAAGAATTGTGAACTATGGATATTAACACTGTTCTCTAGTTGTAGTTCTTTGCCCCCTAGCTTTTCACTGGGTATACCTGGAAACGGTTTCAGGGTTCAATGCCCCTGTGGCCTGGTCTGTGACCAGACCTCACAGTAGATCAGCACTGATCAACCAGGCTGTTACTGCTATTATCTGTTCTAGATTTCCATATCTTTCAACCCAGAAAGTTGTTGTGGTTGAGTTTAAATTGAGGACTGGGTTTTCAAACATTTCCTACATACAATACATTTTAGCTATAACTTTTCTATTCCAACAAGCACTTTGAGTCATTTGCAGTTGTTCAAACATTTTATAGTCTGGTATTTTACAATTCTGATATCTTATGATCTACATTTTCTAGGATTTTTTTTTTATTTGCCATGTTAATGAAATTGGTCTGTGATTTTTTTGCCATTGATTTGCTGCCTCTCTCTTTTTTTTTTTTTTTTTTTTTTTTTTTTTTTTTTTTTTTTTTTTTTTTTTTAGGGAAGTTATGTCTACATTATTTTTTAGGACC